GAATGTCGGGGCAGGTGGCCACTTTTCCCAGGAACGGGAGACTGTCGACTTCTCGACTACGGGTGAGATGTGCGACCTCAACAATCCGGGCGTGATAACACTGTCTATATAAGTCCACAGCGATGGACCACAGAAAGCCCGTTGATGCTCTAGCTCTAAAATAAAATAAAATAAAAAGTTTCTCAGTTGGAAAGCACTCCTTGCAGAGATCAAGCACCGTCAATCCCTCCCTACGCACTCGCAACTCGATCATGAGCGCCATTCGCTCCTCGTCCTCGGCTCTCCTCCTCCTCGGCGGCGTCGCAACGCTTCCCGGCGCCGCCACTGTCCGCAGCCGGTTCCCGCAGCGCAGCCCGTCGTCCGACTCGGCCGACGCGGAACTGGGATACATGCAACAGCCTCTCGGCCCAGTGAGCAGCAGCAGCACCCGAACGGCGGCGCCTACCGCTGCCACTCAAAAGCCCGCCCCGCGCAGCAGCGCTGCGTCAGCGTCAACAGGGCCGCTGCGGTGGCAGACACAGGCCTTATGACTCCCCAGGACGGCGGCGCAGGTCGTCACGATGGCGACGATCCGCACACGCCCCCAGGCTTGGTACGAATCCGATGCTGGCTACAGGTCTAAGTCGGCCAGAGAGATGGTCGCAGTTATACTTGGTCGTAATCAGAAATACTCGTCACTATAGCCTGGGAAGTAATTACCGGAGGTGGTGAAAGAGTGGGAGAAGCGGGAAATTGGTTTCATTTGTTAGTCATAAGTGGTGATGATGGTCGGAAAAGACCATCCGGCTGGTTGGTTTGCGTTGATTGATTAATACCATTCATTTTATGGAAGGCAGGTCCCTGGATAGCGGGCCATATTGCTGAAGTCGGTGCTGAAGTGGTATTGGGAGTAGGCTCATCACAGTCCAGGTCCCAAGATGAGCGAGAAACTGCTATTGATGCATGTCTGCAGTGTCACCGGCAATAGTGCATTGTTGAGGTTGTCTACTCTGTGTTACCTAATGCTTGTGATGAAAGAAATTATTCCCGCTGACTCAGCCATGTCGTCGGTGTCTGATAAGGCCTCTTATCAACGTCAAGTTGGATTTTTTTTAGGTTTTATTTTTATTTTTTGACCGAAGAGTCATTCGCCTCGACAGGTTCAGCCAGTCAAGTCCGTCATACTCTAATGGCCAATTTTCCATGTGTTGATATCCACCACTGTTTTTCCCCCTCTCCCCTTCGTTCAAGAGCTTCGCGCTCCCCACACTCCTTTTCTCCTCCATGTACCGCCCAGTCACCCAAGAACATGTGGTACGAGCATTGAATAGGTTCCACGACACTTTATCCCGCTCGAAAGGAGTTACTGTATATCTGACTGCTGCGGCTTCTCGGCGATATCACGACGGCAAACCCAAGCCTGCGTCCTCGTCTGTACCGCGATCCCTTTCTGCATCGCGATCCACGTCACAGCCCGAGACGGAGGCGAGACCAGCCACGACTACCTCATACTCAACCACACACCTCACCCCCAGAAAGAAACCCGGGGCCTCTCCCTCTGGCCCTACCACCACTTCCCCAGTCAGCGCCCACAAACCGCCTCCTCGCTTTGCCCCTGTAGCAGCTTTGAAGGCCTCAGAGAGCAAGTACAAAGAACGGCCAAAATACTACTCTCGAAACACTATCCGTGACCTCAGATTGGAACGTCCCACGCCAGAGTTTTTGGAATCGTACGCGGGAAGATCGACTCCTGGACCCAATCGCTTTCATAACAAGATCCTCCGCGGCGACCCTCGGTCATTTCCTGGCAAGAAGGCGCTCTGCATACCGGGGGGTTGGGACGATCTTAGCAGTGGAATCGGCCGCAAGAGAAAATTTTTTTACTGCTGCAATCTTCTCGTAGGACCTCTGGAAGAGCAGACATCGGTCCGCTGCCGCAAGAGAAACTTCCGCCTGGATACCATGGCGAACTATGTCCAGGTTGTGGCGACGCCAACCGCCGATACGGGCGCCTCCCTGTTGCTCCACTTCGACCACCGTCGCTACTTGTTTGGCAGTCTTTCCGAAGGAACTCAGCGGGCCTTGAGCCAACGCAAGCTTGCCGTTGCGAAGCTCGAGACCATGTTCATCTCTGGCGAGACCAAATGGGAAAACACGGGCGGGATGATTGGCATGATGCTGACCATCGCCGACGTCATGGATGGCAGCCGGAGAGAGATAATAGCCCGGAACGAAGCAAACAAGAAAGCCGGGAAAAAGGAAATAGCCTTCAAGGGCCCCGAACGCCTCGAGATACACGGTGCCCGAAATCTGAACTATTCCATTGCGACAGCGCGCACTTTCACCTTCAGAAAGGGGCTTCCCATGCGTGCCGTCGAGGTCCACGAAGACCCGAGATTGACCAATCCCGAAGCCTCCACGCCTGACTGGGAAGATGACGCGATCCAGGTCTGGAAAGTTCCCGTCTCCGCCGCCGACAACGCCTCATTTCCCCTCAGCAAGCCACGTAAGAGAAGCCACGAGGTAATGACCGCAGAGGACGAGGCCTTGCAGACCCGCTCTCGTGCGAATTCTGCATCAGACGAGCAGGCCAAGGCAAAGGAGCACGGCGTACTAGGCGTGGTCTCCCAATTCATGGCTCGTGAAAAGGCTCATGACGATCAGGAGGAGGCCAAAACGCGCGAGGCGCTAGAGGCGATCGTGGGAGACATGTTTAGCTCGGACTGGACCATGGACAAGTTGTACGCGACAAGGCTCTCCCAGGTTCAGCTTCCTGCTACCATCTTTGTCAAGGAGGATGGCCAGGTCAAAAAGTACAATGGCCCTCTGCCCGGCGAGAGGGGCAAGGTACCCGACATTGAAGTCCTTGTGCGGTATCCCTGGCCAGCAGTGAAAGTCCAGACGCTTCCACCAACCACACGTTCTAACTCGGCTACATGCTACGTCGTTAAGAACAGAGGCCGTAGAGGCAAGTTTAACCCGGTCGTTGCCAAGGAGTTGGGAGTCGAACCTCGCAACTTCAAGCTCCTTGCGGCCGGCCGGACGGTCGTGGGTAAAACTGGCAAAGAGGTGACACCGGACATGGTGCTTGGGGAGCCGGTAAAACCCGTCGGCTTTGCTGTAATCGACATTGCGAACACGTCCTTCATCGAATCGTTCCTCGGCAGATCCGAGTGGCAGAACCAAACCCTGATGGAGAACGTGCCTATCTTCTACTGGATTCTTGGCCAGTCGGTAATTGATGACCCACGCATCCAAACGTTCATCAAGGAGCGACCCCATATCAAGCATGTCATCATGGCCCCGGACGCCAGCCCGAACATGGTGTCCATGGAATCCTACGCTCTCCTCCACGCCAAGCTACGGCGCATCGACCCTGACCGCTTTCCCCCACTCGTTTACGACAACACGGTTCGGGACCTTTCGCACCTTGGCCCCAATGTCGAGGCTGCGCGTGTCGGTATGAAGGCCACTTTGGGAGGCGGACTTGAGGCAAAGAACGATGAGGTTGTGCCGTTTCCTACATTCAAGGAGGCTGATAACATCGACGGCAAGGCGCTGAAGCTATCTCGAGCTGCCGCGGCCAAGATCAACGATCCCGGTTTCCTCGAGGAGGTTGAAAGGGTGGAGCAGGATATCCCGAACCGCGACACCGAGATCATCCCGCTCGGAACCGGATCTGCCCTGCCCTCCAAGTACCGTAACGTCTCCTCGACCATCATCCGCGTGCCGCAGTACGGCACTTACGTTCTCGACTGCGGTGAAAACACCCTCGGCCAGCTCCGCCGTGCCTACCCCGCCGAAGAGGTCACCAAGATTCTCCAGGAAACCCGATGCATCTTCATCAGCCACATGCACGCAGACCACCAGCTCGGAACCGCCAGGTTCATCCGTGCCTGGGCCGATGCGACCGCAAGCTTCGACCCGCCTCCCACACTTACGATCGCCGGCACTAACGCCATGCGCCTCTTCCTGCTTGAGTACAACCGCGTCGAATCGCTTGATTACGAGCGCCTGCGGTTCTTCAACAGAGAAGACCGCTTGTTTCCTCATGGCGATGGCTGCCTGCCGCCCGACTGTCCCACCCGCCTCGCCTCTCTTCAGCTGGTCCGGGTCTCACATTGTCAAAACGCATACGCCGGCGTCTTGACCTGGCCCTCGGGCCTAAAGATCGCCTACTCGGGCGACTGCCGGCCGAGCGACGACTTCGTCGAGGCCGCCAAGGGTGCTACGCTGCTCATCCACGAGAGCACCTTTGACGACGACAAGATGGGCGATGCGGTGGCCAAGAAGCACTCCACCATGTCCGAGGCACTCGACGTCGGCTACCGCATGGGCGCGCGCCGCGTGCTGCTGACGCACTTCTCGCAGCGCTACGCCAAGCTGCCGCTGGTCGAGAGGCGGACGACGCCGACGGGCGCCGACCAGGCTGTCCTCATGGCCTTTGACCAGATGTGCGTCAAGCTTGGCGAGTTCCGCCATGCCCAGGCGTTCTTGCCTGCTATCCGACGCTTCTTCGACACGGACGATCCGAAGGGGGAGGAAGACTAATAGGGTAGAGCTCTCTGTTGATAAACAATGACAATCTGAGCAATCCCCAAAGCCACTTTGCCCGCAAATATGACGCTTCCAAAACTACAGAGATTTGGCAGTCTTTATACTCTCTACCTGAAAATTATGTTTGACGATGCTGGAAATCATCACAGCAACACACACACACAGACACACATAGACACACAAACCAACTAATCTCAGATAAGATCCAGCGGACTGCCATCCGAGCTATGTTAATCGGGCACTTGGCACTGTTATAGACTGAAGATGGTAAAAAGAACAAAAGACGGGGCTACACTAATACTTTTATCGTGATCCAAAGTAAAAAGCGATCTCAAAGTACAGAAGCTTAGACAGAAGCCTGTTGCTTCCCCTGGGGGCCACGAGTGACCAATCAAGTCGGGCGAGCTCCGCGCTACTAAATACTACCTTGTTTCTTGATCTGGCAACAAACTCGAGTAGCTTCATCAGTACCCACTGCCGTAAATGTGACTGCGACGTATATTCATATATAATTGATTCCAAGGGTGGCCCTCCGAGCTGTTTCAATCGGGCACCTGACATCATCATGGACTGAAAACGACTGCAAACAAAAGACAGGGTGACGCCGATGCCGTTTTCGTTATATGGCTGGAAAGCGATCTCGAAGTACAAGACCTTGGAGAGAAGCCTGTTGCCGCTCCGGATCAACGTAGCGTAAGTGACCCCGGTGGACGTTTGTTGCGTGATGTTCTGTATCAGGTGCCAGTCTTCCGTCTGTGTGCTTGGTCGTAAACATGGCGGGTTGGAGTAGGGACCGGGCTCTTCGAGGACGAACTTGTTTGTCCATCCATACACCAACACGATTAGATTCCCTTGATCTGTTTCGGGTTGTCTTCTGGATGCTTCCGGGCCCCGAGGAGCGGGCAACTGCCGATGCACGGTCTCGGCGACGTTCCTCTGCGAGGTGCTGCAGTCTCATAGCTGACGAGATATGAGCCTGCACCATGACATCGTCTACAATGCTCCCTACGAAGCTGGCAATGTGGTCGGGGATCGCCATTTTGGTTTCGAAAGCTTTCAGGATCGAGTCTTTCATGAATACCAGCGAGACTGTGATATCCCTCTCGACGGGCGTCACCATCGCGATGGTATCGTCTTGGCGTTCCAGCAACAGGATCAGGTCTCTCGGGATCACATGATATTCCATGTCGAGAAGGGTGACATGTCACGTCGGGCTCGCTTCTGCGGCCCTAATCTGCCGCTGTGACCTGGTCAACTTCTTCGATCCAGAATGCCCATCTCGACGAAGAGGTTTCTTTCGGCGCGACGACGGAAGGCCTGGAACAAGCAGCCGTGGGCGCCCACTGGCCGTCATACCTGGAGTGAAGAGCAATGTCTTCATCTCTTCCTTCCAGGCTTGGGCCGTCTGCGCGAGCTGCGTCTGACTTGCGTTGTTTGCGTGACTTCTCGATGTATGGCAATGCTGCTACACCTGGGGAGGAGAAGGCTAATCAGTAAACCACATATGTCGGCACTGATGGGGGGGGGCTCAGCCAACGTCGCGGTTTCAGTGTCCCGCGCACCTCATCTTTGGGTGATCTAACGGGCAAAAATTATATACGAGGTGAGTGGTCATAGACTTGATGTACCGCCAGTGCAAACATATGTAAACATAACAAACGCCCAAATCACATTGGCAATTCAACGCTACAAAGCCAGACACTGCAAGTGTATCATACATTCCCCAGCATAATGGAGGCAAAAAAAAAAAAGCATACTGTCTTGGTCGCCGTCTATGCGAGGCACCGGACGCGGCGGCAAAAAGCGAGAGGTCCATCCAGGATTCGAACCTGGGCCTACGGAAATTCCAATCATCAGAATCCGACGTCCTAACCAACTAGACTAATAGACCAGGTGGAACGGATGATGAGCTTTGAGTCATCTAGCCACGTTGGAACGCACCGGCGGGGATTGCAAAATATGAAGGCTATAGTGGGGATAAGCAATCCCTTTCCCTGTTGGATGTGGTGGTGGTGGGGGAGGGACCAGGGCAAGGGCGATTGTCTCCCGGGTCTGGCGGGCGGGACAGAGAGGCCCCATTCACAGCGAGCCGGGATGCACCCGTTTAGAGACGTCACACTAGATTTTGAAAGATATTGTCTCTCAGAAAATCCAGGAGCGTCGACATTGATGTTTGGAGATGCAGATTTGGTTGTAAATGTCTACTTAAATCGTCACCGTCAGTGCTTTATTGCTCCGGTCCCCCCCAACCCACCCCCCTTCCCCTGGTATGCTGCTTCTCTCCCCCACCTCTCTCAAATCATCTCCGTACATGGTATTTCGATGCCCGTCACGGGAACTCCCGACGGTTACCGCCTCTGCTGGTATGACCCCTGCTGCTGTTGCGGCGGCCTTTGTTGCTGCTGATGCTGCTGCGACTGCTCCCTCCTGATCTGCCTTTCGAACCTCTTCGCTTCCGTCTTCGCGTCCTTTTCCCCATTCAGACCAACCTTTTTCAGCTCCTCCCTGACAAGCCCGACGGCCTCGGCCACGACGTCGTCGCCTCGTCGCCAGATGTACAAGGCCACCCCGTGCGACTCTAGGATCTCCTGCGCTCGCTGGAGCCGGCGCATCCACAGCTCGTGCTTTCTGTTTGGCGGTGCCGCCGCCGCTGCCGTAGCTGCGGGTCCGAGACTCGGACTACCTGTCGGCGAGGTAGAGCCCGACCTCAGACTGCCCGTCCTAGTCCTCGTAAAGGTGGGAAGGGTAGCCTGCGTCTGGGAGGCCGCGGAGGGCGGCAGTGCATCAAAGTCGATATCGCTATTGCTCGACAACCTGCGGCCGTTGGTGTTGCCCCGCGGACTAAGGCTCCGGGGGCCGGAAGGGGCTTCTCGACGCCGAGGCGGTGGAGGGGGCGGTGGGACTTTGGCTGTCCCATTCGCAGCTGCAGGTATCCTGGCAGTGTTCGGCAGACTCCTGCTGCTAGCCACGGTTTGCTGAGAGGAGTTATGCATTTGAGATAGTGGATGAGGGCCTGCGCGGTCGGCGGATGGCTTTCGAGATCTCGGAACAGGAGGGGGTGCGGCCCCGCCATTGACGCCAAATGTATTCGCGCTCGTATCCGATGGTGTGCTACGAAGGGCCACTGGCTTGTTTGGTCGAGGCGGAGCAGGTTTGCGACCGACGACGAGATCGGTGGAGCTAGAGTGCGGCTTTGGCCTCGCCTTGACCTGAGCTAGGGCAGCTGTATCGCTGAGCGTGATCTCCTCGGGTTCATCCGAAAAGTCGATCAGGTCGCCCATGACTGGTCCAACAGTCTTGGCCTCACCCCGCGGCGGCAATCCTGGTCGACTCGATGGCGTATCGCTCTGATCTGTGATCTTCAAAGTAGGGGCTTTCTGACGTGAACTGCCACCTTCGAATGAATTGTCAAAATAGCCCGCCTGCTCAGGTGTCGTGACGTCGCGGATAAAGATGGCAATGATGCGTCCTGGATGTGCCTCCACCAGCTCGGTATAGACCTCCAAATCAGCTTCACCACTGTCGCCTACTAGTAGAAACCGGCGTTCTGGAAAGTCGTGCATGAGCCTGGTAAGGGTACTCTTCTTTCTTTCCGCCACCGGTTCGAAAATCCCCTGAAGCATGCCGCTGTACTGCTTCAGATGGAGCGAACCAGGGGGGAGACCCGCGATCATGAAATAACTTGCGAGCACGGGGAACAGCTGCCATGGACTGTTTGAGCAGTAGTGCATACTCACGCCCATTTTGTGTAGCTCGTTGTACCACTCTCGAACGCCCTCCACCGTCAGATCCTTCAGTTCCCGCACAAATGTGTTGCGGAAGATTTCCTTGGCACCGCTCGAGATGTTGGACCGCTTGATAGTGTCGTCGATGTCACTGATCAGACTGACGCCCTTCGGCTCGATGATCTTGACCTCCTGAGTTGCAGACAGGTTCTCGTTGGCGAGAATGCGGACGTGGGTGGGAACGAACTCCAGAGCGGCACGCAATATGAAGTGACCGGCGTCGTTTGTCTGCACTGTCCGTGAGGCCGACTTTTCATCATTATAGAAGAAGACGGTGATGGGCAGCTGAACTAGAGGCGTTGTCATGAAGGGTGCTATTCTTGCCATGAGGTTGGCATTTGCGACAGAGAGTTCGGCGTCTGTTAGATCGGTGCCCGTCGTGTTCTGCCTAGATGGTGCCAGTTTCGGGGATCCAGGGGCATTCATGGGCGTGTGGGCGCCGCTTCGCGATATTGATCTCGCTCGGTATATGCTATCCGCGTCATCGTCGGATGCATCCTTCGGTGCCTCACTGAATCCGCCCCGGGTCGCCACACGCCGTTCCTCTCGACCCCTCTTCTCGATTTCCGCGGCTTCCTTGGCGATCTTCTCCTGTTCCCGCCGCTCCTCATGGGATTGGTGCAAGGCGGACAGGTTGTCGGCGGGCGCAGGGGCGTCTTGTCTTGGGGCCGGGATGCCACTCAACTGGCGCGCAAGACCGATGAGAATGCGGTTTCGCCGTGTTATCGGGCCCTTGTGCGGCGAGTACACCCAGCCCCTGACGTCGATGTCCACGATAGCCTTCTCATCCTCATTACGCTCCCATTCTTTCCTCCAGAACTCTTGGTCCCTGGCACTACCGGGCTGCTCTTCAGAGTGTTGCTGGTACTCCGCAGTCCAGTCTCGCTTAACGTGCCGCTTCGCATATGACGGAAAGATGACCATTTGGTCGTCTCCTTGGACGGTGATGGCGACGTTGGGGAACGACCCGGGGATCGTCGTCCGGGGCATGCCATCCTCCGGCTCTAAAGGCCGTATCCGCGTCTGCGCATATCCTTCTCTTATCTCATTGACGGCGGTGGCTCCGGCGCGGTATACACTGCCGGCTTTTGCAGCTAGCCATTTCCGCCGAAATCCCCTCTCACCCGGAGTTGGCAGGTCATCGGTCGATGGAGCTTCGTAACCATTGCCTGCACCGGCACCATCAGCGATGCCGGCGCCAGTTGCGCTGTGTCCCGCTCCTCCTCCGCCGTAGTTCGTGTAGTCTGAAAAGGTGGGCATCTTTTTGCTTAGGTTGCCTGCTCTCTCCCTCGCATGCCGCTTCGGCTTGACTGAGGACGGACCCAGGAGCAGCCGGCGGCCGTTGCGAGCGAGTACGTCGACAAGCCTGGTTTTCTCGTTCCGTTTACGCTGGCGCTCGAGTATATATCGGTATATGCTAGACTGGAACCGGTGCTTGAGCTGGGGGAGGGTGTCGAGGTGGAAGTTTAGGAGGCGCTCGCGGTATCGATCTCGTACGCTTCGCGGAAACAGGTATCGCAGGAGGCTGGTGCGGTTGTGAGGCTGCGGACGCGGGGGACCAAATCGCCCGAAGGGAGCCAGCTTGCTCTTGGTTGTGCCTTGGACAGGGTTCCAAGACGAACGGCGGGGAGCAGGACGGCCCACAGCACGGGCGTTATGTAGGAAGGAAAATCCAAGTCCGGGGTACGATGATCGGCGGAGCGAGGCCGACGAGGCGAAGTCGGCAGGGCTGCACAAGGCTAGCAGGCGACAGCGTCTTCTGACCCCCACGCTCTACAGGTGACGGAGGGACGGCAGAGGGTGATATAAGCACATGATCTTGAGCGGCTCTGGTGGGTGAAGTTGGCGCGACGGACCGGTTCGGAGTCGACGAAGCGGGAGCACGCGTGTACGTTTAGGGGAGGGGAAGAGACGAGGAGCTCGTGACGGTGGGCGGGCGCAAGCTTTAGGTTCGTGTTGGGGTAGGCGTTGGTCTCAGAAGCTCCCTGTGTCGCGCAATGCAAGTGAAAGATTGCTGTCCTGGATTGTTCGGAAGCGGCGACAGTACCGAAAGATGCGATTATGCGGAACAGGGAGCTGGTCTCTTCGCTTCTTTCTGGCCGTGTGCTGCTGCTGGTGGTGCAGTTGATGCGATACACTGGGGAAAGACAGGTCGGGGGGGAGGGGGGGGGGGGGGGGGGGGGGGCGACAGACTAGGCTAGCTAGACGCGAGACGAGACGCTGTTACGTCATCCTCGCATACCTAGCTAGCTTAAGGTAGCTTAGCTTCGCCCAGCATGCATGTTTAAGCTTGGCCCTCTTTGCGGAACACTGACGTGTTGTGTGGAGGATCTTCAGCGCTTTCGGCTTTCCCTGTGGCTTACCACTGCGATACGTAGGTAGCCAAGACGGTCCCTCATGAGGTTGCACTGGCAGGTATGGATGGACACAGGGTCACGGCTAGGTAACTTCGCTTGGCTCCTAAATGCCAAACTGACTATTCACAGACCGACATCCTTCCCATCGTGTGACAATTACTATTACGTACCGGTAGAAGAGCTACTAAAACACTGCGCATGTGAGACTGCGATGCTAGGGGACCGCATCCAATAGACATTGCACACTTCCACGCTATTCGCTTCCCCCATGCGGAATCATCTTTAGCCAAGAAAATTAAATGGTCTTTCCACGTGGTATTTTGGTCCATACAGCTTCCCTCGTCCAGGCATCTCCTGTTTTGTATTTTAAACACCGGAAAAAAAACCAGAATCACCGCTTCGTGCGAGCTAGCCTCGCCCTGGTCCTACCCTTGGCCGGGACGTTCTTCTTCTTGGGCTGCTTCTTGAGGTTGAGCACCGCACCCTGCCCGGCCCGCTCGGCCCTGCCCTTCTTCCACACCCTGTCCTCGCTGCGCATGGCCTTGGCGTCGAGCTTCTTCTTGTCCTTGTTGCTGAGCTTCTGCTTCTTGCCCTTGGGCCCGTTGAGCTCCTCGCGCCCCGCCTCCTTGGCCTTCTTCTTGTCCTGCTCCGTCTCAAACCACGTCCTCTTGGGCCGCGCCTTGATCTCCGCCTCGTGCTGCAGAATATTCTCTCCTTTCCTCACCTGCATCTCCGCCTGCGCGAACTGCTTCTCTTGCTTCTCCTCGACCATGATTTCCTCAATCTCGTCCTCCATCTCGTCCACCTGCGCCTGCCACTTGTCCGCTTCCGCCGGCTCGATGATGCGGCTCATGATCTTGGCCCCCTGTGCCTTACCCGCCTTGACCGCCGCCTTGACGACCTTACGATCCGGCTCGGCGGCCAGCGTGATGGCGATACCGGTTCTGCCGGCACGCGCCGTACGACCGACTCTGTGCACGTAAATTTCAATGTTCTGTGGCGCCTCGTAGTTGATGACTGTGTCGACACCCTTGATATCGAGACCACGGGAGGCCAGATCAGTCGCCAACAGGTAGTTGACCTTGCCGTCACGGAAGTTTTCGACACTGGCAATTCTCTAAATGCATGTTAGCGGGAGGTTTTTACAAGGAGGAATACTTTATAGCCACTTACCTGAGCTTGGTTCATGCTACCGTGAAGCTCGGCGCAAGACAAGCCAAGCAAGCCAAAGATGATTCTTGCACGGTGAGCCTCCTTCTTTTGGCGGAAGAAAACGATGACACGCTCGGTGTGCATCGTTTTGCAGATGTGGACCAGGTAACCCATGCGCTTCTCCTCGCGTCCCGGGCGCAGGCGAACAAACTCCTGCACCAAGGTACCGACAGTCTTGTTCTTCTGCGAGTCGACCATGACTCTGGCCGGCTTGTTCATGCCCAAGCGCACCAGCTTGTCGACGGACGATGTCATTGTGGCGGAGAAGAGCATGGTCTGTCGTGACTTGGGCAGGGTGGTCAGAATCTCGTTCAGCTCGTCGGCGAAACCGTCCTCGAGCATGCGATCGGCCTCATCGAGAACGAGAATCTCCACGGTATCGACGTTGAAGCTGGCAGAGTTCCTCATGTGGTCAATGAAACGACCCGGTGTGGCGATGATGACATCGGGACGAAGCCTCAGCTCCACCTCCTGGGCCTTGAGGCTCAGACCACCCACAGCCAGGGAGAATTTGATGTCGGTGTACGCAGCCAGCTTGGTGGCGACAGCGTGACACTGGATGGCCAATTCACGCGTCGGGGTCAGGATGACGACACGGCTGGTCGGCACCTTCTTGGGCCTGTAGAGAAGACGTTCGAGAATAGGGACGACGAAGGCGCCAGTCTTTCCGGAACCAGTGACGGCGCCACCGACCACATCCTTGCCCATCAGTGCAATAGGTATGGTCTTGGCCTGGATGGGCGTCGGCTTGGAAAAGCCAACAGCCGCGAGGCCTCGCAGCAGAGGACGCGACAGGGACATGGCCTGGAAGGACGATGAGGTATCCTTCTTGCCGGGCTTTGCCGGCTCTTCGGGGGCGAAGAAAGCGTCGCGCTTCGCCTGTTCCTCCGCATCCTCCTCTTCGTCGTCCGAGTCGTGATCGTCCTCGGGGTGGTTGACGGGCGTCGCAACCGAGTCGTTGTCGGATGCCGCGTCGTCGTCCTCGGCCTCTGCATCAGAACCCCCTTCTTCGTCGCCAGATTGCTCGACGTCGGGGTCCACACCCATGCCAAACGCATCGTCAGCCAAGACTTCATCGTCGTCGTCGTCCAGGTCGATGTCCACATCCATATCGTTATCCACCTCGTCGTCGTCGACAGCCTCCTCTTGTGCTTCCTCCGGCTTATCCACACCATCCCTCTTCGTGCGCCTCCTGCGAATGATTTCGTCGAGATCCACGCCGAGTGTCGTGTTGCTGCTCATGGACTTCTTGGCTCCTTCGAAACCCCAGCCTTCGAGTTCCGCATCGCCGAATTCGATGGCGCCGTCCTGCGCAAATTCAAAGTCCGAGTCCATGGCACCATCATCTTCGTCTTTTGCGCCCCATATGCCCTCGTTGACTTCTTCTTCGGGCAAATCCTCCTCCAAAGCAGCCTTTTTCGACTTCTTGGACGTCTTCACCTTCTTCTTAGGAGGAGCTGCGACAGGGGCCTCCTCCTCGATGATTTCTTCGTCATTGTCGGAAATTGTGTGGACAAAATCATCGTCGACGGGCTTGCGCTTGTTTGAGGGAGCCATTTTGGGCTATGGGAGAGTTGCAGAGGGAACGAATGTTGGGGACCGCGGGGTACTTTGCTGGCTCTCTCACACGATTCCCCAATGCCTGACACTAAAGCCAGAAATTTTTCTGGACGGATGGTGGAGCTCAACTTTTTCTGCCGTCCTTAAGGTGATCCTGGAGAAGGCGGTCAAAGTAATGTGTGGACCATTTCCGACGTTCGGACCATTCTCTGATTCTTAAGCTGGCGGATAGGAACCCAAAGCAGTACGTATCTTTGGGATTGCACGTGACTCTACCTGTCATCTTTGATTGTTCCAACAGCCCATGATGTGTACATAATACGGCACAACGGCTAGTGTCCAGTGAGTGTCCTTGGGGATTAGGGGCAACTCCCGACCGGGGGACCCCACCACGGTTGATTGGGCGACCACTCACAGTTTATTGGCAACAGTTTTTGGCCGCCTTCAAGCCCGCTGGGCGCCGACGAAGCAACGAGATTTAATTTCTGTCCTGTTGACTCTACAACTCGTCTTTTTCGGACCTAACCAAACTCGGTGCCTCACTTTCCCGCATCTCCTTCTCGACCACATCCGCGTCTCTCTGCTTCTTCTTGAGCGTCTTTTCCAACGACTTTTTCCTTTTTCCTGAGCGCGCATTTCGATCGTTCCGACTGCCATAAGAAGCTCCATCCGCAAGGCCACACAAAAACCACAAAACACACAGACAAGATGGGCGAATCCAGGTGGGCGAGCTTCCATCCCCTTCCACACCACCATATCGGCGTTGTGCTTGGCAGCATCAACAGACGTTGGCGCGTCGCAACTCTCTGCTAACATGACACGGGCTTTCCAGACAGGAACTCATCCAGTGGCTGAACCAGCTTCTGTCTCTCAACATCACAAAGGTCGAGCAATGCGGTACCGGGTACGTTCAAATACCCCTCCCCCGCCATGCGTTTATAGTGGGACCCTGATGGTTTTGATGGTGTTGCTAACGCTTCGTCCGAACCGCAGCGCGGCCCTCTGCCAGGTTTTTGACAGCATCTTCATGGATGTTCCCATGTCCCGTGTCAAGTTCAATGTCAACAGCGAATATGCCTATATTCAGAACTTCAAGGTCTTGCAGAGTGAGTATTGCGCAGTCTCCTTTCGTCCCGTTCCAGCCTACATCAGTTCTCTCTCCGGTGAAAACAGCTCTCGCTGACCGATTGCCCTCCCGGAACAGATACCTTCACCAAGCATCAGGTCGACAAGCCGATCCCCGTCGAGGCGCTGGTCAAGTGCAAGATGCAGGACAACCTCGAGTTCCTGCAATGGACCAAGAGGTTCTGGGACCTGAACTTCCCCGACCACGAGTACGACGCCGTCGCCCGGCGAAAGGGTGCTCCCGTCGCCTCGGGCGGCGGCCCCGCGCCCCGTGCCGCGTCCGGCTCCGGTGGCGCTGCCAGACGAGGAGGTACGACCCCCTTGGGCGGCGCCCGTGTCGCCAAGGCGGCGGGCCCCGGCACTGCGGCCCTCCAGCAGGAGAACGCCACCCTCAAGGAGACAGTCGTCGGCCTCGAGCGCGAGCGCGACTTCTACTTCAGCAAGCTCCGCGACATCGAGCTCCTGGTGCAGCAGGCAGTGGAGGAGGACCCCGAGCTGGAAAAGCAAGAAGACGGCCTCGTCAAGCAGATCCAGACCATCCTGTACTCGACGGAGGAGGGTTTCGAGATCCCTGCAGAGGGCGAGGCTGTCGACGACCAGGAGACTTTCTAGAGGGTGTAAAAGGTGCATTGGGGGTGTTGGGGGCAACGAGGCAAAAGCACACATGGGGTTGGCGCTAGTGCAAATACCCAGAGGCACGTAATAATCAATATATTGGCGGTGATGAGGCGGAGTAGTACTCGAGCACTCGAGGCCGAAGTCGGTCAGGGCTTGTGGCGGTCCCGTCCCGCACGAGCTGTCGTGATAAAAATCAAAACATTTTGGTCTGGAGCTTCAAATCACGTTATCACGTGGCCTACTCGTGGCGTGTCTACCGTGTTAGTAGGCAGATGAATCATTCTATAAATTCAGCTGGGTCGTGCTCCGAGTGACGGTATACGGGTTCGACCTTGATCATGTCCGGGGAAGGGAATATTATCGTCCGAGGACTTGCTCCAGATGACTTGCCGAGCTGACATCCGAACCCACGTATGGATGTGTGGGCAATGTAGGTAAGGTATTCATGGTTGGGAGAGAAACCTAGTCAGTCAGTGCCCTCCCCCCCTTGATGTGTCATCTCAACTTGATCGAGTACTTGATCTATCGTCTGACATTGCGCGAATGAATGGGTGGCAATAGTAACACTGGATACCTGCATTTGTTATGTAGCATGCATGCATCATATCCTGCAACACTGCCTTCGGTGTGTGCCCCGGTGCCTGCGTCAATCTGGGCGCGCGTGGGCTTCACCTCCCGTCGTCAGGCGTATGTTCCTGGTCCTGGTCCTGGAACTTGGCGCCCGAGAGAGGAGAGTCGTGACCCAGAAATGCGGTCATTCCCCTGCCGCAGACCCCCCCTAGTTAGTATCTTAGGGGTTCCACGCAGAAGCGCCAGAGGCGTTCGACAGCGCAAACCATCAGCGGAGGGCGTCCCTAACCGTCGTCCCTTGGGCTACCTACCGAAAAGAGGGGGAAAACAAAGCTTAAACTTTCTCCGTTCCTTGCCTACCTATTTCCCTCTCCTCTTTCTCGGAGACATACTCAGTGGAAGAGACGAGAGAGGATGACAGGGGACCTCAAAACAGGCACAAGCGGGCAGTGGACCAGACCTCTTCAAGACAGGCGTGGCCCCCGCCGTGGCTGCTTCTGGAACTGGAACAGTAGCTGCTGCACACCTTAGGTAGTGTACACTCACACCCGTCCATCCGCTGCGGGGACATAACCTGGAACCTGGGCCTGAACCTGACCGTTGAGGCGAACCAGAGACAAACGTCGGCACCCGACACCAAACGAGGCTTTGTTGCTCTCGAGAGGCCCTGACGCAAGCAACTGACCAACTTCATCATTCCACATAACAACACATGCACACACCAAAAACTCATTATTCAACCTGTGCGACGAACCCCCGTTCTTGCGGCCATCCCATTTGACGACAGATTCTCCGACTTCCTTTCAAAACATTGTCGGAACGCTTGACCAACGTCCACTTTCGAAACTGCCCGGCGTCACAGCCTCACGTCCTCTCGTCTCGTCCCATCGTCCTCTCTCTCACCACCCACGATCGACGAGGGGAGCTACAGCAATCCAACCACCAGGCTCATACGATCATACGCCCCTCGTCCAAACCTCCCGACCGACGCATCATCAATCCATCCTCCATTACCACCGACGAACACCCCAATTCCCGTCTCCTCGGCCACGCTTCCACCATGGCGCCCCCGGCCGAGATCTCCATCCCGTCGACCATCCTCTCGACCGGCGAATCCAAACCTTATACCCTCTACAACATCACCCTCCGTCTGCCCCTCAAGTCCTTCGTCGTCCAGAAGCGCTATTCCGACTTCGTCGCCCTCCACCAGACCCTCTCCTCCCTCGTCGAGTCACCGCCCCCGAAACCGCTTCCGGCCAAGTCCTGGTTCAAGTCGACCGTCTCCTCCCCTGACCTTACCGAGCAGCGCCGCCAGGGCCTCGAGGCCTACCTCCGTGCCATCGCCGAGTCGCCCGACCGCCGCTGGCGAGACACCACCGCCTGGCGCGCCTTCCTCAACCTCCCATCCACCGGCGTCGGAAGCACCTCCAACTCGGCCGCGAGCGCCCACGGCCTCATCACCAGCGGCCGCGCCGGCGCCGCCGACCCCACCACCTGGCTCGACCTCCACCGCGAGATGAAGACGTGCCTGCACGACGCCAGGAACCAGCTCGCCCGCCGCGATGGCGCCGTCGATAGCAACAACAGCACCGCCGCCGCCGAGGCCGGTGCCGCCGCCAAGCGGTCCCTCGTCAAGGCCGGTACCCTGGTCAACACCCTCACCGACGGTCTGCGCTCCATGCAGGAGGGCGGTCGCCTCGGCGACGGTGAGCTGCGGCGTAGGAGGGATCTCCTCTCGTCTGCGCGGGTCGAGCGCGAAGGGCTCGACAAGCTGAGCAACAGCATGGCGCAGGGCACCAGCCGCAGCGGCGGCGGGCGGGAAGGGTGGGCCTCGGCAGGAGACAAGGCCGCGCTGCTCGGTGGGAGCCGCAACGGCGGGGCGCGGACAGGGGGACGGGTCCTGGGCGCCCCGCTGCCGGAGAATGAGCGCACGCGGGAGCTGGACAACGGCGGCGTCGTGCAGCTACAGCGGCAGATGATGAGCGAGCAGGACGAGCAAGTCAACACGCTGGCAGCCATCGTGCGCCGGCAGAGGGAGGTGGGCTTGCGGATCAATGAAGAGGTGCAGGAGCAGACCAAGATGCTTGACAGGCTCAACGAGGACGCCGACCGCGTCGGCGGCAAGATTGACGTGGCCAAGAAGCGCGTCGACAAGTTCTGACTTGGCCGCGCGGCGGCGGCAGCGGCGGGGCCCGTCGCGCGGGCCGTTGTGGGCGCGCTGGAGGTTGTTGTTTGGTTTCTGCGGGTCGGTGGGTGGGTATTGGATGCTTTTGCGTGGTGTTTGGAGTTGGCTTCGCTTTTGCTCGCGCCGACTCATCGATGAAAAACGCGTGCCTTTTTTGCACTTTTACGAAAGGGAGGTTTTTTTCTTTTTTTTTTTTTTTTCTTGTTGTTTCCAACCTTTGTCATGCAATGGGGGGTAAATCATGGCGTACATACGTGCAGAGACGATTTTCGCATTTACACATCTCCTCCGCGGGAAATAGCCTACCCCCTTCCCCTGTTTGTCCCTCATCTAGTCGAGAGTGGAAAATACCAGTACGGATGCTGCGTTGACCGATATATAAGCATGCCTTTGGCATTCACGTCCTCCGGATTCATGCCGTGTCACACGATGAACATTTGTAGAGACAAAGCTCAGTCACTTTCTCGGCATCAGCCGCGACGATGGGTGGGGGGACTAATGTGTCACTTGCATTATAGTGCAGTAGCTTGTCGAGAGTTTGGGAGGGCCAACTTGGACGGCGGGCTTTCCAGACTGGACTTGGGTCGGGATGGAGGGGTGTATAGTACCTAGGCGACTTGGGTCTGGAGGCAATGCCATTGTCCATCTTGAGCCTCGAGCAAATAACATCTCGTCTTGTCTTCTGGCCCCTTCTCGATGGGCGTGCAAGGCAGCAGTTCAATAATCTCCAGTCCCAGCCACACCACGCCACGAGCTGACGCGTTCTTGACCTGTATTTGGAGTGCCTAGTATGGATGAATTTGACTATTCCTGACGTACGGAGTGGAGAGCTGCAATATGAACTGCGCACATACCAGCTGCAATAACGAGCTCGATGTTTTGAACAATTCAGCTTTGGGCGTCTGCTAGTCCTCGGAGCCGATTCCGTTAGCCCGACAAAGCAGTTCAAACAAGACATCAGTCTTACCGGGATTCCGGTCGAAGCAGTCGTGAAGAGATCATGATCGACAATTCGCCGGATTGCAACCGAGCCTAGTAGAGCGTGATGAGATTGATGTCCTTTCAAAACAACGGGTGTGCCCAGGTAGGTCGGGAAATAGGGAGGACGCGACACCGTTTTCGCGCCGGTCCGTCCCTCATGCACATGCAGACGGTTGCTTATGGGCGAACCCTTGCCGTTAATGGCAGGTATGGGTGCATGGAGGCAGGTGCTACCACACCGTGATTCCTCCCGTTTTCTGCATATCGGCAGAGAATTATGGTGAAGCCACAAGCGAGAGACTTGAAGATTCGGGCAAGGGCCTCTCGTGGAGCCGTCGCCAGTCCTTCGTTATGTCGCCGACTCACGACATCTCGCCGCTGTCCAGCGTTGGTTGAGCGAATGATCCGTTCGAGCCGTACGGGAGCCACAGACGTTGCCGGCCGGCAAAGCCAAAGAAACGTCTACTATGTAGTGTGGAACATGTACCGGCCACCCACTTAATGAGCTCTAATACGTCACATGGGCGCCGGGATGGGCACTAGGTGCAAGGGACTTCCCGCGGTTGCTGGGCAACGAAGCCGAGCCACCGTTTCGGGGGGAGGGTGTGACAACGTGTGACAACTGACATTGGGAAAATTGGACAATACCACAACGTTACAGTTGGCGCCTAACAAGGCCCCAGCCCATTGCGGAGGACGCAGCTGCTATGCTCGATAGTCGAGTTCCCATCAAATACCAAACCTAATCGACCAAGGGACTCCTAGTAGACTGGCCCTTGGTAGAAGGTCGACGGTGGCCTAATATTGCAACTCTCCGGGACGGGCGGAGGGCTGGTGGACACCACCACCCCCTCATCCGACACCCAAAGAGGATGCGTGCTGGCGCCGAAACCCTCCCGGGGAATACATAGTATAGCCTCGATGGCCGCGATTCGTCGTGGAGGCTGGCTCGGTGGACCTGGCCCCCCAGTGACTCGTAGTGATTGACCGCTCAAAGGGTGACAGGCGACTCGGCAAAAGAGCCTTGCATAGGCAGGGGATCGTGTGCAATATCTTGGGATTGGACGGTCTCGGGAGGGGAAGAGGTTCTCAGGACCCTGGAGACCGACCGGTGTTTGCCGTCTGTGTCTGCTCGTTGGAGCTGGGCGGGGGGGGGGGGGGGGGGGGGGGGGGGAGGGCTCGTGAGCTCAGCAACCGATGTTTGTTGTGGCGATCTTTTGGCGATGAGTGGGCGAAGGTTGCGTTGCTGGCGGTGAAGTCGTGTGTCGTCCATTGGTTGGACGACGCTCGTCTGATCTCAAGGCTGCCAGAGGAAAGGGCTTTGCGAGGCGCCTGTCAGTTATGGGGGTCGGAGGAGAAGATGAGAGGCAACGAACATGAAGATCGAGGCCATGACAGCCTCCGCCGCCGATCGAAAATGGTGGTGGCTGGGAGCTTGGCTATCCATACGGTTGGCTTTTTTTTTTTTTTTTTTTTTCCCTCTTTCTTTCAGGGTCTGATTCGTGCAGGGAAGATGCTCTCAGCCTACGAGGTCAGAGCTGGGATGGCAGGTATTCTGCTGACGTACGCAGCCTCGTTGTCGACCCACTATTTCAGTAACCGAGGGTTAGTGCATTCCTATGTACCTGCTTCAAGGTTCGGTACTAGCAAAGCAAACCGAAGCAAAGAAAGACGACAGACGGAGATAACAGAAACATAGACAATAGTGGAAATCGGAAGGTGGAAGCTCCTGAATTTGGTATAAGGGTTGTCTGTGTGTTTGCTCCTTCCTCCGCCCGCCTGCCTGTCAAGATGTCACCATCTGGTTGCCATCTTCGCTTAAAAAAGATCAGTGACTGTAAAGTGGGGCGCCGTCCACTGGGAGCCCTCGAGTCATCTACTCTCTCAGTGCTGTAACAGCCGCTAGCGCCCTGGTCTACTTCTTTCTGTGTCTAGACCTTCGCCTAGACCGGGCCGGGTGTGCTGTTGGTGCCGCGGCGGCGGCGGTGGTGGTGGTGGTCGCCCATGAGAAATTCCCAAAGTAAACACAAAAGAAATCCCGACCCCTTCTCGTCCTCGTCCTCGCCGTATTTTCTCTCAACACCACCACCATCACCTCCTCTTCCTCCGGCGCCGTGTTACCAGACAGCTGCATTCCCTCCAAACCCGCCGTTGCCTACTAGCTCACAGGGCAAATCTCACGACAACAAGTCAACTATTCCGTCTCGGTCCCTTCCCCCGCGTTCGGACCAATTAGAGCACCGGCAAAAAGGCGCAAAGGCCGAAGCGGAAGGACACCAAGTTCCGCCCAGGGACCCGAGCAATCAGCAAAGCCTCTCGATACCGCCTATCCTCCCTCACTCTTGCTCGCTTTGACGCCCAAGTCAGGTCCTTGCCCTGCTCTTTTTCCTGTGGTTTCCGGCGTTTGTTTGTTTCCTGCATTTGTTGCTTGTGAGTCTTTCCAGCCTTTCTGCTCTCCTCACCTTGCATTTTGACCCAATCTATGCTTCTCACCGTCACATGCCACCCGACCTCAGCCCCTCTATTGCTGGAAAATTTCTCATGGCTTTTGTGCAGACGCCTCACGACTTTACGACCGTCAATGGACCTCTCAAGATACCACTAGACTTTTGTTTTCTTCATTTGCCCCGAGACGGAGTCTCCAGTCAAGCCTCGAGGCTCCATCTAGGTCAACAAGTAGTGCCATCACCTCGCCACCAGGTGTTGAGGTCTACTCGACATGAGCGCCCCTCCTCCGCCCCCGCCCCATGGCGAGGCACCCAAGACCACCGCCGGGTCTCCCCCTCCCGGCGCTGGCTTGGGTGCCGGCAATTATGACATCTTTGTCATTCCCCAGCGCGACAAGGGCGGAGGCTTCATCTACTTGCCCTCTCTAGCCCCTAACGGTCCCAGCTTCGCTGCTGGCTTCGCATGCGCTCTCGTCCTCGTCGTCGTCTTCCAGAGCATGGCCCCGGCCTTTAGGGCATGGTGGGGGACCTACCAGGGCATGGGCAACATGGGCATGACCCTCCTCGTAATAGCCGTCGGCGTGGGAGCCTGGGCATGGGGAAAATCGCAAAGCCAGGGCTCTTCCTCGGGCAACGGCCACAATGCCAACTACCGCTCTGGTCCTGGTGGTTACGGTGCAGGTGCCAACTTCGGCGGCGGCTATGCAAACGCCGGCCCGCCGCCGCCTCCCCCGCCTCATGGCAACCAATATGCCGGCGCCCCTCCAAACTCCCCGCCGCCGAACCATGGGCCGGGAAACGGCGGTCCTAGACCACAATGGCAAGAACGACCGCAGCCTCCACCTTCTCAGGAACCTGAAACTGAACCTGACCCAGAGCCGGAACCGCGCAAGCCAGACCCTCCCCCGAAACCAAAGCCTGATCCGTCCAAGGGCGCCTGGGAGAAGGCCCGGGAGGAGACGAAGAAGCGCGAGCAGGAGCGCAAAGCGAAGGAGGAGGAAGAGCGCCGGAAAGCGGAAACGGCACGGAAGCTCAAGGAATTTCGCGAGAGAGAGGCTCGCGAACGTGCGAGGCGGGACAAAGAGGAACGAGAGAGAAGGGAGAAACTTGAGCAGGAGATCCGTGAGAAGGAGGATCTCAAACAGAAGCTTGAAAAAGAGCGTCAGGAGAAGGAGAAGCTGCAGCGTGAGAAGGAACTGGCCGAGCAGGAGGCCAGGGAGCGCGAGGCAAAGGCCGCCAAAGAAAAAGAAACCAAGGAGCGCGAAGAGGCGCGGAAGAAGGAGGCTGCCGAAGCCGCCGCCCGCAAAGCCCGCGTCGAAGCACAACTCGAGGCCTTTCGGAAAGCCAAGAAGGAGCGCGAAGAAGCGGAGAAGGCCAAGAAGGAGCGTGAGGAGGAGGCCGCCCGCAAGGCCAAGGAGGAAGCGGATCGCAAGGCCAAGGAAGAAGCGGATCGCAAGGCCAAGGAAGAAGCGGATCGTAAGGCCAAGGAAGAAGCGGTTCGGAAAGCCAAGGAAGCCGAGGCGACCGAGAAGGCTCGCAAGGGAAGTAGCTACGCATACTCGTCGGTCGGTGAGAAGACGTGTATGTGGCCCAATGGCCGTCCCCCTGTTTCTCCCACGACGACGGCCTCGACGCCGCCGAAACCACCTCCCTCTGCTTCGTCCGCTCCCCCAAGACCTCCTCCTTCAGCCAGCTCGGTGCCGCCCAGATCGGCGGCTTCTGCAGCTTCATCCTCCAATACAGCCAGGCCACCGCCACGCCCATCGGCACGAACAGTCGACGAAGATCAATACTCGTACCGGCCATACGACAAGCCGAAACACAAGCCCGCGTCCTCAGTCGGCTCCGAAACGTCATGGGCCCCGTCGGCCACCACAACAAGAACGACGCCACCGCCTAGCATGCGCGGGCCGTACACGACGAAAGATCCGGACAAGATTGTCATCAAGGCCGTCTACCTGTTCATGAACCAGTTTGCCAAGACGCCGGCCAGTCAGCTCGTGTCAGGGTTCGGTACAGTAACGGACGGCCTCATCCTGCGAATCACGACGGAAGGCCTCTTCATCGACGACGACGTCCGCGGCGTCCCGCAGCGCGAGTGGGACGTTAAAGCCTGGACGCTAAAGCTGGTCGAGGTATGGTGCCCCCCGCACTGCTTGAATTCCAATACTACTCCTGCTCCTGCCCCTGCGACTTCTGCGAATCACCACCATACGAATTTGTTTCAAAAAATGGCGAATCAGCGAGCCCGTACGGCGGACAGAGGTGCTACGAAGCCGCTCACGGGCGATGAAGCCGATGCCTACCTGTCCGAAATGTTGCGTGCTTGCAAGAGTTGTTGCCATCTTGGCTTGTGCGACACGAGGTTCAAAGATACTAACGTGGCATCGCCAACCGGACAGACCGGGGAGTGGAAGAACAAGAGCCTGCATGTTCTGCGCGCGACGATTCGCGATCAGGAGGGCAAGCGGTACATGTTCGTATTGGACGAGGAAGAAGCCTGGAAGATGGCCGTGGGCGTGCAGCGGTTGCGCAAGGGCACCCAGGTACGCTCGCTAAGTGTTAGCGGAATGAGTGCCTCTGACGCCCGGGGTACGCTCGAGACTCTGGGCTGGTCATGAGATGCGTGTGCTGCCGACGGTTGAAGGCAGCTTTCGATTCGGATCAATGCCAATTTCCGGACGGCTGGATGGGCTGCCTTTGTCGATACAATAATGTTGTGGCTGGGAGATTTCGGTGATGGAACATGGGACGAGGAGACTAGGCGTCCTTCTTATATACGGCGCCCTCAAAGGCTCAAGGGGACGTGCCAACTTGAGCTGGCATTTAACTTTCATGGAATTCGGTTGCATAGCAGAGCGAAGGGCGGTTGCATTCCAGGAAGCAAAAGCTGGGATGAAAAACATTGGTCAACAAAACGATTTCATGTAGCATCAATGAATGGATGGCCCAGCTGGGTACCTCCACCTCGCGAACGAACCACCGATTTGCACGCATAAAGCCTCTCTCGACGGAGTTGGCGGTGTGAAGGGGTTGAGTTCGGATAATGACGATACGGTTTCAACACTCTGCCTATTGTATTCTTGTTTATGAGCGAATGTCCCTCCACGACATCAAGGCTGTTGACGAGGCGGCAACGGTTTGTTGAGCCATCGACGGAGCTGTTCTGGTGCAGTTGCCAACAAAGGGGGCCATTTATTCCCTGTCGGGACTCCTTGTGACTGGGGGGTCGAGCTGGGTGGCCTAAGTGACAGCTGTCATACATGGTGACGCGAGCGAAGGGTTTGCTTGGGTATGACAATCAAGATCATTGACGACGCACTATGCCCGTCTTGTCGTCCGCACATTCCACGCGCCTGTTTGTCTACGTCACGTTAACAAGCGGGCTATGAGCGTCGGGTTCCCACTTTCTCATCTTGAATATGGTAGCGAGTGGCCCCGTCAAGTATTTCACTGGATATTCTTTCAACGATCGGCGAGAAGGAGGGGGCTGGGGCCTCCGGCGCGGCGGTGACGAACTCCGTCCTGCAAGCTGCATGTCCCGCATATTATTGATATCGGCTCTCTCCAGATTTGGAGAAAACAAGTACCCGCCTTGCTGTCGCTGCCGTCACTGCTGCCGCTGCCTATATGACAACGAGCCTATTCGATGCAAGAGGGCACAGTGTGCAACACCGTTGAGCTGCTATCCATGGTCAAGCCAAGAGGCATTTCGAGGCCGTGAGCTTATCTCTATTCCAGTTCAGTGCAGAAGTCCGGCCGGGTCTGACGGACTTTGCCCACCCGCCGGAGAGAGAGACAGAGTCCCCGATGACGTGTAGAGAACCGTCTCGTCGGGAATCCCGGGACATTTTAGCTCAGACGTCTCCGGGTGGTGCGTACAATGACAGATGTGGTTTACCGAGGCTTCCTCGTGGCAACGAGGCTGTTGAGATGCTCGCCAGCGGGTGACGAATCGGGCCTGTTGCTTCTAGGTGCCTTCGAATTGTGCCGCCCCGGGTCGGGACGGGCCAAGACCATCCTATCAGCTTGTCTGATCACTCCTTTCTCTCAGATGTCCTGTTTCTTAGCAATCAATCCCAGTCAAGCCCAAACACAGAGATAGCCTGAACTGGGCGAAGAAAAGAAAGCCCCCCTGCTTGGCCATCCTACACCCATTCTGTATATGCGTAACAAGCTGACGCCCGCCATACTGCCATCTATAAAGAATGTCGCAGCCACGACGTCTCTTACCTCGCCCAGCCAGGGACCGGTGCAAGACTGAAGCCTCGTTTCCTTCACGCTTCTCATAATGAAGGTCTTCGCTCTCCTAGGCCTTGTCGGCCTTGCCGTCGCCGATCTCATCCAGACCGGGGCGTCACTGAAGCTCGATGACGTGCATTACTTTATCTCCCCTTTCTCCCAAGGCAAGCCCTCCAACCGCTCCGTTAATATCGAGTCCCTCCCTCGTGCCTTCGGCTTCACCCCCGTCACCGTCGTCTCCAACCCCGTCCCCAAAGATGGCCTCGCTTCTCTGTTCTCCAACTGGACCGCCAAGGACGACGTCTGGCAGCCCGCCTTCCTGAGCGTCATCTTCCTCGCAGGTGTCGAGGGCCCTTGCATGACGAAGACCAGCTACGAAGGCAGCAACAAGACGCAGTCCGTCGTCATCCCCCTCTCCGCGGGGCGCAGCATCCCTTCCGGCCCGTACTTCCTCGACACTTACACCGGCGACGTTTACCAGGCCTTCCGCCTGTACGACGACTTCGCCGGGGCCTTCTCGGAGTCTCTCCTCCAGACGCCCGAGGGCACGTTCCAGACCCTCTCCGCGCAGGTGCCCTCCACGGCGTCCTTAACCATCGGCGTCCCCTCCCGCCTCTACTTCACGCCCACGGCCGAGAAGCCCCTGGCCGGCGTCCGCGTCGGCGTCAAGGACATCTACGCCCTCGCTGGCGTCCGCCGCTCCAACGGCAACAGGGCCTGGTACTCCCTCTACCCGCCCGCCGGGGCTACCGGCCCCGCCATCCAGAACCTCATAGACGCGGGCGCCATCATCGTTGGGTACCAGAAGCCGTCGCAGTTCGCCAACGGGGAGATGGCCACGGCCGACTGGGTCGATTACCACGCTCCCTTCAACCCGCGCGGTGACGGGTACAACGACCCGTCGAGCTCCTCCTCGGGCGCCGGCGCGTCCATCGCGTCCTACGACTGGCTCGACATCGCCGTGGGAAGCGACACGGGGGGCTCCATCCGCGGGCCGGCCGCCATCCAGGGCCTGTTCGGCAACCGCCCCTCGTGCGGCCTCGTCAGCCTGGAGGGGGTCATGCCGCTGTCCCCCGCGCTGGACACCGCCGGCTTTCTGACTAGGAACCCGTACCTGTGGGACGAGGCGAACAAGGCGCTGTACAGGGGCAAGTACACGTCGCTGGCAGGCGTGGAGGTCAAGTATCCCAAGACGCTGTACACGCTCGGCTTCGCGGAATTGGACGATATCCCTGCTGCGCAGGTGCCCGCAGCGCAGATGCTGAACAAGTTCGCGAGCGACCTTGCTGGGTTTCTCGGGACGAACGTGACGAACTTCAACCTGACCTCATCGTGGGCCTCTTCCGCCCCGGCGGAAGTCAGGAACCAGACCCTGCCGGATATGCTGGGCCTTACATACGCGACGCTCATCACCAAGGAGCAGACGGCCCTCGTCCGCGACCCCTTTTACGCCGACTACGCTGGTACGTCCATAGACACACACATATACACACATATACACACATACACATACCTGCCTTCTCCATCCTTTCCCCATCACTGCCGCAGTTACTAAGTCCACACAGCCGCCCACGACGGCCGCCTCCCCTTCGTGAACCCTGTTCCGCTTGCCCGCTGGGCCTGGGGAGACACCCAGCCCGCCACGGCTCTCGCCGAGGCAAAGGCCAACAAGACGCTGTTTGCGGACTGGTTCAACACTCGCGTTCTCCCACTCGCCTCCGACGACGCCTCATCGACGTGCTCCTCCGGCATCCTGCTGTACGTCGGCAGCGCCGGCATCGCGAACCCGCGGAACCAGTATCCTCCCAGCGCGCCGGGCACGCCGCCGCTCGGCTTCTCCAGCGGGCGGCTGAGCATCTTCAGCGGCGCGCCGGACCACGTCTTCCCGCTGGGCGAGGTGGGCAGCGTCAGCATCGTGACGAACCACACCGAGGTGCTGCCGGTGACGGTGGACGTGATGGCGGCGCGGGGGTGCGACGGGCTCCTCGTGCGGCTGGCGCAGGACCTGGTCGCGGCCGGCCTGTTGAAGGTCCCCAAGGCCGGGGGCACGCTGACAGGCGGCGAGATCCTCATGAGGAGGGATGTGCACGACTGGTTTTGAGAGGGGGGGTTCATTAGACGCATTTGAGGAGACAGTGATACAACTTTTAATGGTAATCTTAAATGACGAATAAGTTTGGCTTTTTCTTCCCTTGGCTGATGACACTCGCCACAACGTGCTTCGAATCACCTGACCTGTTCCGAGAAGTTACAATGGCGAGGATGAACTAAAATCTCATTCGAAGTCGTTAATCGTTTATTACAGCGAGGCCACACCTCGGCTAGCAAGATCGATTCACCGAAATCGTCTGATCCGTCACTTGCTTAAGATCAGACGTCCAAACCAGTGCCAAGTCGAGGACCCCTCGCCCGCCCAAGGACGAAAATAAGCGAGAGAGATGCATGATGCATCAGCAACTTGGTGAGATTTGATCCGGTTTATGTTGTTTTCTATTCATCAGGATGAAGTATTTGGAATAACCCAGGCTATTAAGGAAACAGTGTACCTTGGAGCTGTACTTCTTGACCTGGGCCCTTTGTCTTATCCTAGCTCGTTACGGCAAAAGTAGAGTAGTTGACCGTATCTGCGCTCAGAACTCCCTCCTTTACAGGCCCAACTGTAGGTTTCGTCGCCACGTAGACCCGAGACGCGATCTTGTTAGTAGTCCCTAGGCATCGCTGCGTTCGATTTCTGGCTTCGTCTCTCAGTCTTGTACCGGTGCTGCCGGTGATCACTCCGCTCCGTGCCCAACACGAGTATAATGATCACAGTGAGATTGTGTACAGGCTGCAGGCAACAAAATCCAACCGTAGAGTTCCTGGTGATAGATCTGGCATATTACCTCTCCGAGTCGATGTCTGCAAAGGGGTGGAGCGTCCATTGTCTTACAAAAACCTTGGCGGTTCCTAGTCACGGCTGAGCTGACCATATCATACGGTTCCATCGTGGCTAACCTGTTATACCCAGTCGGGAGGCATAACATACTAAGACACCATGCTTTCTGCAGCAGTGTACTTTCCGAGCTCTTTCAAAGCATTCTCGTACTCTCTTTGGATTACTGTGGCGTGCTTCGAAGACCGGGGTATGATTGAGCAAGGGAACGGCAACGGGCTCGAGTTGAAGCCGTCTGAGTAAGCAAAACTGTGTGGAAGACTCTCAGCCCCCGTACCAGTGAGAAAAGAACCGAGAATACTCACATGTCGACGTCAATGTCTCTGCCCTTGTCGTCCTTGGCGGCGCCGACCGCGAACCCCCAAAGGATCCTCGCGATATTGAGCGCGACCGACGCGGACCCGAGGTGCATGCCTGGGCAGATGCGGCGGCCCCAGCCAAAGGCGCTATGGCCGAACGCGCCGGGATATTCTCTGCGCTCCGTGAACCGTTCAGGCCTGAATTCGTGGGGTTCCGGGAAGTCCGCCTCGTTGAGATGTACTACGGATCGCGGGTCAGGAGACAGCCCCGGCCGGCTCGATCGGTTGAAACTTACTGCTCCACAGAGGCGCGATGATGGTGCTCCCCTTCGGTATGAACATGCCCCTGTACGTGTGATCCGCCGTGCTTGCGTGAGGAGTGCCTCCGAGCACGGCAACCGGCCTCCAGCGTAGAGTCTCCGACGCTATGGCTTCGACGTACTTGAGTCTTTCCAAGTCTGCGAAATCCGGCAGTCGCCCACTGCCGACGACCCTGTCAAGTTCTTCTTGGGCTTTTGGTATGAATTGCGGACCGAACTTGGCGCACGCCAAAAGGAAGCTGGCCAGGGACCCAGCCGACTTGAGAATATGGCGTTAGCAACTTGCTGCCTTCAAGGTGAAATCCCAGCGCCCTTTTCTTACCGTCTCAACACCCGCCCCGAACGGCGATCCTGCCGTGTAAGCAATCTCTAGATCCGACATACCGAGACTTGCCTGCTCCTGTAAGAGGTGCCTCGCAAAGCAAGCCGGCGCCACGCCTTTTGCGACCTTGGCTCGAACTTCTTCCATGAGCTCCGTGTAGAGCTGGACGTCTTTTTGTCTTTGTTTCAAGACTTCGGCCTTCCACGGGGCCAGAAAGCTCGGGACGTACTTGAGCACCGGGAACCGTTCAACCGCAAACTTTCCTGGGATGCTACGAAGGGTCGGTGTTTAATAATGCTTCTGTGTTCTCCAGCTGGGGAATGACATACTTGACTGCGGTCAGACGACCCATGGACTCGGCATTTCGCTGGACGACGATGTCGGTCGAAACGTCCTCGACCCTCCTGCCGTACGCCACCGTCACGATGACGGACGCCGCGTATCGCTCGAGATGCTTCCTGAAATCTCCGGGTTGCGCGAGAAGCTCGTGCATGAGGACCTTGGACTCGAGGCTCTGAATCGGCCGATACGTCTCGCTCTGCCTCTGCATGAAGCCGCTGTGAAGGAGCTTGCGCCAGCGTCTCCAGAACGGCGAGTAAGGGGCCATGAGGCCCCTCTTGCCGCCGGACAAGAGTTCGCCCCCCATTATGAAGCGCGGGCGAGATGAGAATATGGCCCCTTTCTTCTCAAGGAGATCCCAAGCTGCCTGGGCAGACCCCAAGACGATCGTTGGTGTCGGCCCCATCTGGAGATACACGACATCGCCGAACTCCCTGCCCAGCTCTTGGAACCAGAGCCACGGCTTATTTATGCCGGTCCTGATGGCTTTGGGCCCTGGTGGTAGCTGAGAGCGATGGGAGTGTAGCTTCCATTTCTGTTGCAACTGGTTAGAAGAGGAGGTCAGTCATCACTCAGTGCGTACGGTTGAGGCTTGGCAGACGACCGTACCGTGGGCAACGTCAAGACAAGGTAACCCAGACCGACCACCGCAGCCAAATACGAGAAAACGTCGAAAGTCGTCATAATCTCGCTATGTAGAAGGCAATCAATGATCAGAGTCTCCCGTACGAGGGGGTATCAGAACGTTATTCTTTCCGGCGGCCAACCTCGGCAAAACTCACACAGATGAAGGTAGATTGAATCAACAGAAAAGATATAGTTATTGCGTCTGCTGGAAACCCAGAATCACCGAGGTCGACAGCATAGTTAGCGTTCCGACTTGACGGTCTGACAATTGCCGACCTTGGCGGCAACAGCCCATTGAGCCACCCCCGCCGTGATATGGTCATTCGCGAAGGTGTAACTGGGCCATTGAGAATCCCCCACGGCCAGTAGTCCCCAATGAGACAAGGCAACATCGGACCTGACAGGCCCATAACCCCGCAACGGAGCCTGACGTGGGTTACGCGGGGGAGGAGATGCAGGCTCCGCTGTGTTCCAGGATCCCCCACACGACCCGTTGGCTGGCACGGGACCTACGCGGGTAATCATACCCTGACTTCGGGTAGCACCATCGCGGCAGTTGTTAATGGATGCTGGGAAAGACAAGACGAAGAGATACATATTGTACGAGATCCAGTTCATGTGACGGCCGTGCTTGGAGCACAACTCTAAATTGGCTTTGACTTGTTGCTTGTTGGTCTTTCGAGATACGATCGCGCGGCCATGAAACCAAATACCTCGGGCTGGCTTAGCAAGCCATTCTTGACAGCAATCCTACTTGGCACAGGCGGGTTTTTGTACGGATAGTAAGTGAGGGTTCCCCCCTCCTAGTTTATCTGGCAGGCGTTCTCATATCTGATTCCAGCGACTCAGGGATAATAACTCCCAGCTTGGCACTCAAGTCGTTCTTGGTGTACTTTGGTAACCCCAGTGCTCCTTTGAGAGGGTCCATTGTTTCTGTGTACCAGGCCGGAGGTACATCTCTGTGTTTCCCACCGATGCTCTCAAAAGACTAATTACCAGACCCCAGCTTGGCTGGGTAGTGCCTCTGTTGGTATCACCAGCGACAGATTTGGCCGGAGGAGGGCCATTGCTTTCGGCTGTATATGGGGTGTCATTGGCGGGGCGATGATGGCTGGCGCTGCCCACGTCGCTATGCGTGAGTAGTCGAATCTTGTAAAATGTCTATACTGACGTCGTTCCAGTCATTACGGGTCGTCTCCTGGTGGGATTCGCTGTTGGGACAATAACTGGCGTAGCTCCAGTGTTCGGGGCAGAAATTGCAAAGGTAAGCCTGCGTTGTTAGTGTCCGTCGATCTCGCGCGCCAGTTGAAGTCTGACAAGCCTCGAGACACACGAGCGAGCCCGAATCACGGCTGTCAACCAGATGAGTAATAAGTCGCATCTCTGTTAAACTTGGTCAAGTTCTGATACGTATGAATAGTGGTTGCTTGGGGTTTCTTTGTCGCATTATGGACTGGAGTGGGTGAGGGCAAGTGGCACAATCCAAACCAATGGCGACTGGGGTTTGCGATACAAAGCCTCCCGGCTCTCCTCCTAGGAATCGGTGTTCTCTTCGTCGACGAGTCACCCAGATGGTTGTGCCTTAAGGGTCGTTACGAAGAGGCTGAAAAAGCGTTTCGCAACTATCATTACGACGGGTCTAACGACGACTGGTGCCGCAACGAGTTCACTATCATCCAAATCAACATTGCAGAGGAGCAGCAAGCTCAAAGCCGGCTATCCTGGGGCGACTTGCTTAGGATCTCTGCTTTCCGAAGAAGACTCTTCGTCGGAACCTTTGTATGGGGTGCGGCTATGCTATCAGGCATATCGTTCGTGCAGTACTACCAGACGGCCATCTACGCCACGTTGCAATTCAGCCAAGACCAGCAACTCCTGGTTAGCGGCCTGTACGGGTCGGTAGGCCCCGTAGCGTGCTTACTTTTCCTGTTTTTCGTCGACCGTGTCGGCCGCAAGAAAATCCTGGTCATCAGCTCATCGCTTTTGTCGGTCAGCTATTTGATCATAACGATCTTGGCTGCGGTATATCCCGCGAGACCCGGGTTTCCCACAAACGATGCAGCCCAGCGTGGTCTAATTGCCTGCATATTTGCTGTTTCAGCAAATTACTCTGCTCTCTTGGGACCTATGACCTGGATTATTCCGTACGTCTGCTTGTTTGAGCAGGGGATTTGGGGATCTGTTCTGACTTCCTTGTAGGCCAGAAGTCTTCACGACCGAGTTACGAGCCAAAGCGAACGCCATCGTCCAGGTCATCCATTACTCCATCAGCTTGATCATAACTCAGTGCTCTCCTATTGCGCTTGCTGATGTGGGCTGGAAGTACTACGTAGGCAATGCGGTGCGCTCTTGTGGAACCCAAGCTAACTCAGTGTCCCCAGATCCTCTTCATCTTAACCAACGCTCTTTGCGCTGTCATCTTTGCGATATTCTATCCCGAGACTAGAGGTAAACTTTATCACCAAGCCCCTGTGGAACAACTCTAACGTTTCGTAGGTAAATCGTTGGAGGAAATTGACGAGATCTTTGGGGACGTCAAGGTTGTTCACAATGCCGACTTGGGAGAAAAGGTCGGCGTTCAGGAAGTGGAATTCCGCCAAAGGAAGTAACTGATGAACCCAAGATGATCAAAGAAGTCTGGATACTTCTCCAAGTTCATGTGTTCTTTTGTCTCAACATATCAACTCTAGTAACCTCTATCTGGTTGAAGTCCTGAGCGGGGGACCAACATGCTGCTACCAGACCCGTATACAAGATAACATTCATCTCACCAATATAATGTTAGACAAGTACCCTATTACATGTTTCCTTCATAGCCCCCAGCGTACTTTCTCTTACAACAAGCCATTGAAGGAAATTTTGCGCCCAGAGAAACCAGGAAATCAGCTCAAGCATGCTGGTTCTTCGTCTCCCTTACGGAAACGTACGGTGGTGGCTGAACCGAGCTAGCTGCCTCCTCGTCTAGAGCGTCTTCGGTCACCGCCGTCGCCGGTCTCGCCTCTGTCCGTCTTGTCGCGTTGGATCTCGTCACGATCCGGATTCTGTGCCGCTCTGCGATAACAACAAAGAGCGCTGTCAGGAATAACCATATATTCAGAATAGTCAGGACCATCCAGATGGCGCATACGTTTCTGACGAGCTTCGGCCAAGTGTGTAGCCGCACAATGTCGATGCCGGTAAATCCAAAGGTTTGCAAGACTATCCATAGAACAAAGTATGCGAAAACCGTTACGCCGATGCTGATCGGTGGGAGGCCAATGCAGTTATGTAGGACGAAGCCGAGGAGCATGCTGTTTTGTGCGATGCCCACAAGGATGGCGAGACATACGATGACGCTTTGATTGGAGTCATTGGGCCGCACCATGCTGTAAATCGCCGTCAGGAGTACAGAGGCGGTGATGGACAAGATTACAACCGCTGACACGATCCTCGGTGCCGAGTGGTAGAGGCTCGTTGTTTTGTTCGTTCGTCGTGGAATCACCGGATCTGGCCCATACCAGGCGTATGGAACGGATTGACGCGGCATTGTAGCGTGGTGAAAGATTGATCGGAAAACACGATGTGCCAGCGAACTCCCATGGCGGACGATTGCATTTATGAGTAAATGCTGAGTCTGGCCGATCAGGCCACAAATCCCGCTATCACAAGCGGGCAGAGGACTTTTAAGTCACTCCCTCGATGACGAAAATATCTCTCATCATGACCGAACAGGCGCTTCGAGAGTTTCTCGTGATGAGAGAAACTTCGGTGGCGTCATTGGGAGCAGTCACTGTTTGTTACCTTGATAGTGGCCGATGAATGCACCACGACCGGGTTTCCTCAACAATCTGCCATGTGCATTATCCATTGGGACCAAGGAGAGCTAATGAGAATGGTTTTTTTTTTACCAGAATCGCGACTCAGGCCAGAAAACAAAGTGAAGTTTCGATTCGATGGCTGCCTGAGAAATATCGGACGAGTTCAGAAGGCGGTGGCAGACAGGGGTTGCTTCAGATAATCCAAACAGCTGGGGTTGTGGCAAGCTTCGACCGCCCAACCATATTGCGTGGTAGGCTAGGTTCTGGTAATTATACGACAAGACAGCTCTCTACAACTTTTCAAGGGATCGTCTGCGATGACTTGGTAACATACATGAAGGCGGGTGCCCTGATGGGGACAGATTTATGTCTGGACGATGTGGTCGGACGATGCCCAGACAAACAAAACCCTGCTCAATCAAGACGGGAACAGCGCGAATTCTCGCCAACATTTCTCTAATCGCCGAACGCTTCTCAAATCCTCCCACAACGTTCCCCTCAGCTGTGCATTTTCAGACACAGAACGATGCGCAGATATACCCTTTGGAACAGCTTCTATTGAATGCCTCTTATGCATCAAGTCATCAACCCGTGCGACCCTGGGAGGGACCGCCATGGCTACGTTCTCACCAAGTCATCAAGTCATCAAGTCCGTATGTCCACCCGCAGCGACCCGAAACCCGCGCTCCATCATCCCGCCTTTGTGTGTGTGTGTGTGGGTGTTCGCCGACATGCCTCCGGACCCAGCGCCCAGCTCCGCGCCAACGGAAACACCAAAGGCTTGAGTGTACAAGCAGAATACGTGCGTATTCGTCCACGGCATCGAGGCTCCCCCTCTCGGTTTGTGCCATACATGCCCCGCAGGCAACTCGTTCTTTCGCGGGAGTTGACGCGACAATGCAGCATCGACGATGCAAGGCCTTGACTAATGCGCGCGTTACAGGGTCTGGGGTGGTTGGTAGTGGACTCAACTGTGGGGGGTTAGCTGAGCTCTTGGCCATAGGCGTGGTGTTACCGGTGCACTGTACTGATTGGACGCTATGCCCAGCAGGCCTAGATCTGTATGCCAAGTTTGCGACTGAACCACTACTTCGCAAGAGGCAACACCAAGTCCGTTTGTACTCATTCACAACCAGAGAAGGCGATATGCCACATATTTCAATCATTGATGCATCACCCCCGCTGGCAAATCCGTCGGTGCGCTCGGCCTGCAGGTCGGAAAGGTTGCGCCAAGTGAGCTCGAGATGCGATTGCTGACTTGTCAAAGCTGCAGCCGCATGTTCACCGGTGGGCATTACTCAGGTACTTGTCGTCCACACGTAGGTACCTACGACCCATCCGGGTCCCAGTTATCTAGATCCACCAGACTGGCGGGCACACGAAAAAGACATGGGCTCATCCAGGGTTACACGGCCTCTCTCTCTCTCTCCCACGGCTCGACAAACCCCGGTTGAATCGCGTGTTAATCGCCTCTGGATGAGTGATGGCCCATCCATGTTGAGCTCCGCCGTCTAATAGTAGTGTACATAGACCGTGTGAGCCTGTCAATGACATCAGCGGGGGTCTGGGATGCCGTCACGGCCGGCCAGATTCCCAAGCTACCCCTCCATCATCCCACTTACTGACCCCGCCAGCACCCTCTGCGACCTGCTATCTAAGAAGAGCGTTTCCCGCAGATCTTCTTCCTCTTTTTTCCATCTTCTCTTTTCTAATATTCACATTCCAAAGAAAAAAAAGGTTTTATACCCATTGTACTCTTTTATCCAAAAACGCAAATCACATCAACACCGCCATCATGCCCCAAGGAATTCCCACCGCCTCCCGTCTTCTGGACCTCTTCAGCCTCAAGGGCAAGGTCGTCGTCGTCACCGGCGCTTCCGGCCCCCGTGGCATGGGTATCGAGGCCGCTCGCGGCTGTGCCGAGATGGGCGCCGACCTGGCCCTCACCTACTCCTCCCGCAAGGAGGGTGCCGAGAAGAACGCCGCCGAGCTCGAGAAGGAGTACGGCGTCAAGGTCAAGATCTACAAGCTCAACGTGAGCGACTACGACAACGTCGAGGCGACCACCAAGCAGATCATCTCGGACTTTGGAAAGATCGATGCCTTCATCGCCAAGTAAGTCCCCCCCACTTCCGGCTCACGGCCTCGGCCCAAAGGGAATCATCTCAAACGTGTTGCTAACGACGCCCTCCACTAGTGCCGGTGCCACTGCCGACAGCGGAGTCATCGACGGCTCCAAGGAGGCCTGGGACCACGTCATCCAGATCGACCTCAACGGCACCGCCTACTGCGCCAAGGCCGTTGGTGCCCACTTCCGTGAGCGCGGCACCGGCTCCTTCGTCATCACCGCCTCCATGTCCGGCCACATCGCCAACTACCCCCAGGAGCAGACCTCCTACAACGTCGCAAAGGCCGGCTGCATTCACATGGCGCGCTCGCTCGCCAACGAGTGGCGCGACTTTGCCCGCGTCAACTCCATCTCTCCCGGCTACATCGACACCGGCCTGTCCGACTTCGTCGCCCAGGAGACTCAGGAGCTGTGGAAGAGCATGATCCCAATGGGCCGCAACGGTGACGCCAAGGAGCTCAAGGGTGCCTACGTGTACCTCGTCTCCGACGCCAGCACCTACACCACCGGTGCCGACATCGTCATCGACGGTGGCTACACCTGCCGGTAAATGCTTCCAGTCTTTTTTAGTTGTGTTTAAGCGGAGCAACAGGACATGAATACAGGGCACGAGAAGGCTCTGGACATGACGTTATGACTAGCTGGATGAATAATAGACAAAAAAGTAAAAGCTACAACAATGTGCTCTTCACCCAGACTCACGGTTCAAAATGATGATGCATACATGATGACACGCCACAACTTCGTAGCAAAGTCACAAAAAGTCTTAGGTAGCCACAAGCGGTTGGCTAGTGTGTACTCACTATCGACACACTCCGCATTGCGGGTTCTCGCAACTTCTCAATCTACCCCCTCCCCCAGTTTTAACTCCATACATGCAGTTGAGACTGAACTATCTGTGACAAACCGCAGCGTCTGTTTAAGAGAATGTAAAGTATTTGTCCTATCTAGAATCTACATAGGAAACGAGATCGGGTTGGAATACCCCTTCTAAGTGGGTCATGCCGTTTAGTGAGCCACATCTGCGGCGTTCACCACTGGTACTAGCCACACGAAGCTATCCCGGTTTAACGACACTCTCACTAACGCTGAATCTTTTCAAAGCCTTATCTGTCGGCTTGCATCATTATTATAGTTGATATACAGTCAGAACTTATAAAATATTGTCCCTGCAGATTTGGTCTTTGGGCTACGACCTATAATGCTATAATTCTAATAGGTTAATATTTATATAAATAATAGACATTTATGGCTCTATAGGCATGTGGTTAACCCCTTGGTTGCTTCTAGTGTCTAGATACATCCAGGCACATATCCACCTAGGAAAAGACTGTCAGGTGCCAGAGGTAGGGGGGACCAGGGGACCACCAGCTATAGGGCCACAACTAGGAAAACTATTATCCAAGGGTTACACAAAAGCAGAGTTTATAAGAACAAGAGAATTAAGAGAAAGTAAATTAGAAAATAGTTATAATTAACCTTTAACTACACTATTTATAGACTCTTTTACTTAGTACTATAACCTCTTTAATATATTTTAATCTTTACTTATTCTTAAGTATACTAACTATTAAAGCTATAATATTACCCTTTAATACCTAAGCTACTACCTAGTAAAGTATAAGTGTTACCTTTAGATAACTAACCCTAGATAGTAGTAATACCTAGGTATAGATAAAGAATAAAGGCCTACTAATATAATATTAGCTTTAGAGTAACCTTAAAAAAATAATAAAAGAGAAACTTAAAAACCTTTTAAAAGAGTAAGTAAAAAAAGCTAAAAAAAAAATTTTATTAACTAGATTTTAGCTTTAATAAATAAAGCTTTTATTAAAAAGGTATATAATATACTAGGCCTAGCTATTACTCTCTAGCTAAAGTATAAGTACTACTATATTAATATACTATTAAAGTAGTTACTTTTAATTTAATATAAAAGAAGTATATAAAATAACCTTTAGGACTTTTTATTTAAGCTAAAAAAATAGTTTAAAGTTATAAAAAAAGAATTTAAAGATAACTAAAGTAAAGTATAGTATACTAGCTTTATACTAAAGAAAAACCTAGTATATAAGTAGTAAAAGTATATTAAAGCCTACTATAATAGCTAAATAAAAGAAGTAATCTAAGAGATAATAAAGACTTAGTTAAAAAATAATATTACTAATACTAATATATAGGCCTTTAGTATAGTAATAAAGCTTAATAATATAAAGTAAAAGGTTAACTAGTTATACTAGTAATTTATTAATAAGTATAAGACTATTAAAGTAAAATACTTTAACTTATAAGCTAAAAAATAATAGGTAGTCTATATACTTAATTAGTTACTATTTAATCTAAAGAGCTATATATTAGCCTAAGGGATACCTAAGATATAATAAGCCTTTAATAATACTATATAATAAGCTAAGACACTAGCTAAAGCCTATACTAAGAATAGACTAGTAGACTAGTAGAGGTAAAATTAAGAATAAAAAGACTAGTAGGCCTTAGCTATACTACTAAGCCTTAATATAAAGGTCTTTATAATAAAGCCTTAGTCTATATACTTTATATTTATACTTATAATAACCTAGGGTATATTAACGCTAATACTAGAGGCCCTAAAGGTAAAAAAAGAGAAAAGTAACTACTTACTTTTAACTAGGCTATAGTACTTTTTAACTTACTTTAACTATAGTAAGCTAAAGTATTTATTAGCTAGTTATACTAAAAAGAAATACTATAGATATAGTTAACTTAAATACTTAAGTAAATAGTATATAATAAAGGTAATAAAGGTTAATACTATCTAATTATCTTAAGAAAAAAAGCTATACTACTAATTTAAGGTAGACTTTTATACTAAGATAAGTAGTATATAAAAAAAAAAAGGGTATTAATTAACCTAAAGGTAAATAAAAACCTTATACACTAGAGAATATTATATATAAAGAGGCTACTAGTAGTCTATAAGGAGAAACTACTATTATAAGGTATATAAAGAGGTAAAGCCCTAGACTATAGTTTAAAGAAAATAGTATTAAAAGTAAAAGATAATATTAAAATATTAAGGATATAAAGCTATACTTTATAAGTAAATAATATAAGAGAATATAATATTATCCTAAGGATCTCCTAAGAGTAAATAGTAAAGCTTAACCTTAAGTAAAAAATAATTAGCTAAACTTATTTACTAAGTAAAGACTATATTTAACTTATATAAGGCTAAAAGGTAGTTAAAAAGGCCTTAAAGAATACTAAGGTAGTCTTTATAGACCTTTTTATAATTTAACACCTAGGGTATAGGACACTAGAGAAGGCACTAGAGATATTTACTTATATACTAAAGAAAAATAAAAAGGCTAATAAGGCTAGTAGTATAAAGGCTATAATACTAAAGGAATATAGAGAATAGGCCTATATATTTAATATAGACCTAGTAGTAAAACTAGTAAAAGATAATATATAAATATATATAATAGAATTAGAACTAAGTATAGTACTACTATTTAGCCTTATTTACCTACTAGTAAAAAAAGAACTAAAGAAGCTAAAGAAGTATATTAATAAATCTTTAGCTAAAGGCTAAATATAGCCCTTAAAGTTACTAGTAGAGGCACTAATCTTATTTATACCTAAGAAAAAGGTAAGCTTTACCTCTATATTAACTACTATAGGCTTAATAAGATTACTATTAAGAACTAAGTACTACTACCTTTAATAAAGAAAATTTTAGACTATTTAGTAAAAGTAATATAATTTATAAAGCTAGACCTTAAGGATATATACTACTAAGTAAAGATTTATAGTAAAAATAAATAAAAAATAGCCTTTTATATTTACTATAAATACTATAAGTATTAGGTTATACCTTTTAGGCTAGTTAATATACTTATAATATTCTAATCTTATATTAATAATACTTTAGTAGGTCTAGTAGATATTATCTATATTATTTATTTAAATAATATTTTAATCTTTATAAAGAATAAGGAGAGCTATATAGAGGTAGTAAAGATAGTACTAAGCTAGTTAGACACTATAAGGCTATATACTAACCTTAAGAAGTACTTCTTTTATACTAAGTCTATTAGCTTCTTAGGTTTTATAGTATCTAATAAAGGTATTTTAATAAAATAAGAGAAAGTAAAAGTAATTACTTAGTAGCTACTGCCTACTAGTATATAAGAGATATAGACCTTCCTAGGGTTTATAAATTTTTATAAGTAGTTTATTAAGAACTATTCTAAGGTATATTTTTTTTTATTAACTAACTATTTACTAAGGTAATAAAGAAGTAAGTAATTATAAAAAAAGCTAAAGAAGCCTTTTATAAAGTCTATACTATATTTACTTATACTTTTATCTTATAATATTTTAACTTTATATTACTTATTTAACTTAAAATAAATATATTTAACTTTATAATAAAAGTAGTACTAAGCTAGCTTTATAAAGAAGCCTAGTGCCTTATAGCTTATATATTATAAAAACTCTAGAGGGTAAAGCTATACTATAGAGCACTAGAGGCTAAGTTACTTATAATTTAAGAAGTAGCTATATATTAAAAGTACTATTTTTATATACTTAGTACTATATTATATTTTTAATAAACTACTTAAGGTACTACTACTTAGTAGCTAAGCTATAATTTAATAGCTACTAAGCTAAGTTACTATAAGACTTTTTATTATTTAATTTTAAGATTAAATATTACCTAGGTAAAAATAATATAGTAAATAGGCTTTTATAAAGGCTAAACTACTAGCTTAGTAAAAAAAAAAAAAAGAAGTATAAGGTATATTTTTAAAGGACTTCTTTAGTAAGTTTAAAAAAAAAGTAGTAGTAATTAGGTATAGTAGACTACTAGGTTAAAATATAGTAGCCCTAAAGGAACTTACTACTACCTTAGAAAAAAAAGTTACTATAGTATAACTAGAGGATAAGTAAATTTAGTTAAAAAAGTAGTAATAACTAAGGAGTTACTAGGCTAAAGAAGAAAATAAGTTACTTTAATACTAAGGTAAGCTTATAGTACTAGAGGAATATATAATAAAGATAAGGCTACTTATAGTATTTTATAATAAACTATTAAAGAAGTACTTAGAGGTAACCTAAATAATAAAATATATAAGATAAATATTTTTCTAGAAATTAATAAAAAAAGATATTAAGAAGTATATTAATATATATACTACTTACTAATATATAAAGCTAAAGTACTATTTACTTTATAAGAAACTAGCTTTTCTTTTACTACTTAACTAACTATAAGAGTAGGTTACTATAGACTTTATTACTAAGTTACTAAAGTTAAAAAGATTTAATAGTAAAGTATATAATAGTATTCTAGTTATAGTTAATAAGCTTATAAAGTATACTATTTATTTACTTACTAGGAAAACTTTAATAGTAGATTAGCTAATAACTCTCTTAGTAAATAAAGTGTTTTTTTATTTTAGACTTTTAACCTTAATAGTATTAAATTATAGGTCCTTATTTATAAGTTACTTTTAGGCAGTAGTATATTACTAGCTAGCTATTAAATAAAAGCTTAGTATAGCC